GGGGTATAAGAGAAGTAGTACGGACAAACTTTAAAAATAAAAATTATTAAAGGGCCATAACTCAAAAATCATTGAACCGGAAAATGCTGACAATATGCACAACTAGACTTGGTACTGATCATTCCTGTAAAGTTTCAATGAAATTGCACTAGTAGTTTATGAGGAGTAGTCCGGACAAGTTTTGTGACGGACAGACGGACAGATGGACAGACAGACAGACAGACGACGGAGAAGTGATCCCTATATGTCGCCACTACTCCGTAGAGGCGACAAAAAAATGAAACTTTAGAACTTTTAAAAAACTTTACTTTTATCAAACAGAGACATTGGTAATATCATTTACTGTATTTTCTACATCAATAACTTGCCTGACACATGAGTATAACCTTGCATAAGTTAGCTTGACAGCTTACTCACATGGAAATATCCCAAGTCTGTCACATGATTCGCACTGAAGCAACTGGTTTGAAGCAAACCAATTTAACCTTTTTGCTCAGAAATAACAATTTAATACAAATTGGCAATAGTGATGATCTCTGGATAAAAAGATAAATGCTATATTGTACTTTGCTGTCAGGACTTGTATTAATTCCTTTACACATAAAGTATGTGTATTTTTATTTCGAAAACAATGTGTGCATAACCTATATTTTACTTAATTTTTTATTTAACATTTGGAGGGAAACTGTAGCCTACTGGTTTCCTAGAAGTTTCCAGCCACAAATCGCACTTTTTAACTAATAAAATAAAAATCAGTCTACGAAGGGGTACAAAACTTTGACGGGACAAAGTTAGGTACCTGTCCAGCATTGCCATGCGTTTAATGTTGCACTTTCATTTTACTTTTTAATTTGAATAAAGGCCTGAAATGTAACACCCTTTTTCACTTTTATTACAAAATTCATAGCAGTTTTCATGAATTTTTTTTATTTTGAATATAATTCAATACCACAAAGCCATGTTAAGATGGTTTTATCAGACAAACAAAACTTTCCGTGTCGTCTGCAAAATATTTTCCGAAGAATTGATTTACCTTAAATGGGGTCTTAGTTATTGCATGTGGATATTCAAACTAGAATTCCCCAGGTGTTGCTTATTTTTGAAAGACGCAAGTTCTCTTATGTAACTTTAAATAACAGGCAAAACTTCAAAACATATAAATCATTGTACTATTTTAAATGCTGTTTAGCATAGATAACAAATGTCTCTCTGATTGATGAAGTAATGCGTATGCCTTACCGGTAAATATAGACTGTACTGGACGAATATGATAAACGGCCGTAAAACTGCTAGGGGACGGAAACTGCTAGGAAGCCAGTAGTGGTTAAGGTGTCTGCCTCTCAACCAAGGGATCATGGGTTTGAGCTGTAATCGGTCACAACTATGTTTCTTCATATGCAAAAGTACTGGTTCGGAAGTGGACTTAATATTAAGATAAGTTGTAAGAACTAGTTTCGCAACTGAGCTTAAATAAACATGTTTAAACCATTTAGCATTCATTGTAAGGGAACTTACCTGTTCAGAGTAGACATCAGAGGGTAGAGGTGGGTAATCACATTTGTCTATCTTCTTACACAGAGAGTATAGATTCATCTTGTCACCATAGAATGGAGATTGTAAAGCTGCCATCTGTAAGATTTGAATATCATTAGTTTATACTTATAAAAGAAAAGGAAAAGCTAATTGCTGTTGTTTTCTAGGGTTTATAAAGACAATGACATACTATAAGTGATATTAACACACCTCTGTATCATTATAGTAATTGTTGATGAATCTTCACATATAAAACGAACAACACTGAAATCACAACCATTGTTGTGAAGAGTATCAGAACTAAAGTCAACCACTTTGCTCAATTAATAAATATTTCATCACAATAGAGATATCTGAATATTGAACAAGTCTAAATGGTAATTTCTATCATACAAATGGTCCTATTAAAATGTTAAGTATGAACACTTCAGGGGGGAAAGTAGAACTAAGATTCAAGGTATGCCTTCTAAAATACCAGACAACAGTGCATACTGTATACCAGACAACAGTACATCCTATATATCAGACAACAGTACCTCCTGTATACCAGATAACAGCACATCTTGTATGCCAGATAACAGTACATCCTGTATACCAGATAATAGTACCTCCTGTATACCAGATAACAGTACATCCTGTATACCAGATAACAGCACATCTTGTATACCAGATAACAGTACCTCCTGTATACCAGATGACAGTACTTCCTGTATACCAGAAAACAGTACCTCCTGTATACCAGATAACAGTACATCCTGTATACCAGATGACAGTACTTCCTGTATACCAGATAACAGTACCTCCTGTATACCAGACAACAGTACATCCTGTATACCAGACAACAGTACCTCCTGTATACCAGATAACAGCACATCCTGTATACCAGATAACAGTACATCATGTACTAGTATACCAGATAACAGTACATCCTGTATACCAGATAACAGTACCTCCTGTATACCAGATAACAGTACATCCTGTACTAGTATACCAGATAACAGTACATCCTGTATACCAGATAACAGTACATCCTGTATACCAGATAACAGTACATCCTGTATACCAGACAACAGTACCTCCTGTATACCAGATAACATAATCTATCCTGTATACCAGATAACAGTACATCCTGTATACCAGATAACAGTACATCCTGTATACCAGATAACATAATCTATCCTGTATATCAGATAACAGTACCTCCTGTATACAAGACAACAGTACCTTCTCTATACCAGATAACAGTACCTCCTGTATACCAGATAACAGTTACTCCTGTATACCAGATAACAGTACTTCCTGTATACCAGATAACAGTAACTCCTGTATACCAGATAACAGTACTTCCTGTATACCAGATAACAGTATCTCCTAACAATCTAGTAACACATATATGTATATTCAACCATTACCTCATATAGAAGACAACCCAGTGACCATATATCAGACTTGAAATTATAACCATTCTCATGTATTCTTTCTGGTGACATGTAGTATGGTGTACCCACTGAAAATAACAGATGTATTTCTTTAAAAGCCCATCATTCTAAAAGCATTCTAAATTTGGTGTACATTGTACTTTTTAGTTTATAGTATACAAAAAGTTACTCATTGGCCAATTACCTGAACTATCTTTTTCACTGGTTGCTTTTTGGTATTAAGTACAGTTATAGTGAATTGGTATTTTGTACGGAAGTCAAATACTTCTTTGTTTACATTTTGCTACTTTTGTTACAAAGGATTTCACATACATTTATCACTACTTTCTTCAACTAACAAGCATCAAACATTCTCTAAAACCATAAATTAAACATTATAAAATTCCTTTTTGCCCTTTTTAAAGATGTAAAAATGTATCTTTTCTGAGGCATAATGTGACTTTAATAGTGTTCTCAATATTGTTTAAAACTAGTGGTAAAGTAATACTGTATGGTGTTTTTGTCCTAAAGTTTTTAGCCTTTTGGTAGTAAACATATTATTATAAAAACTCTTCAATCTGATTGTAGTAAAAACATATTTCAGGGTAGAAAACCTGCACATAGACTTTGGAACGTTATATGTAAGAAAACTACTGCCTATGATGATAGATATACAATATAATGTCATTGTGATAAGTTTCTTTATATATGAACATCAAATACAATCTTTAATTTTCTGTTCAAATAAACTTGTGTGCACCAAGATTTTTTTTAATCAATGAGGAAGAACTTAGAACCGGGCAAGAGTTACCTAGTGGTATACTGCTTTCTTCATTGACATAAGGGTTGGAATCACAGTTTTACAGAAATAAAGTGACAGTTTCTTATGTATCCCCAAAGTTAGGGTTAATTCGTACACTTGCTTACCAAATACCCATGTGCATGATATTAATAGTGTAGACAAAGTCCTAAAGTACCCTAATCATGGTGTCAAACAGTCATCTGTTTAAGTTTAAGTGTTACAGCAAAGAAAAACATATATACCTAATGAATGAGCAGCTGTTGTTTTAGAGCTGAAAAATCTCCCAAGACCGAGATCTCCCAGTTTTACAACACCCTGAGCTGTGATAAACACGTTGGCCGGTTTAATGTCTCTGTGCATGATACGTCGAGAGTGCATGTGATTTAGGGCACTACATATCTGAATGAAATATTTCCAAATTGTTTTCTCCGGAATCAATCTATTCTGCCTCTTAAAATGCTGAAAACAAATACAAATATGCATATAAGTTTTACAAAATATTTATTTAAAGCTGTTCATATTTGCTTACACTATCCTGCTCAGCTAAAAATCCATCAAGATTAAAGTCAATATCATTTTGAATTCTCATAGCCATATATAAGAAGTATGACAAGTTCAATGAAAAGAAAGCATACATTATATTATCATAAATGAAATTCATAGTGGAAAACACAGACAAAATTTCAGCACAAATTTGTTACAGAAACTGCAATATTGCAATGTCTTCTAAAAAAAAATGGCAAGAATATGACCCTTACACTGCTGATGCCAAAAGTATAAAGCCTAATTCATCAGTATTTGGCCAGGCCTGTCTGCTATGAAGTGCAGGCAGATTAATTTAAATTTTTATCTCGATATCCCCAAATTTGATAATGAAAGCTGGACAAACCAATTTATGAAATCCAGCAGGCTAAGGGTTTAATCATTGAATATGTAAATCATATTTAAAAGTTACTTTAATCATTCTGGAGAGATCACCAGCATCAGCTAATTCCAGCACAATGTTTAACTCATTATCTTCAATGAATGATTCAAGGTACTTGATAACATTTGGATGGTTCAATTGCTGAAGAAAAAAATATAATAATTGCTTTTACAAACACATGTACAAATGTATGTTCCTAATTTATACACTAATTGAATGGTAAAATTAATAAATAGAGGATATTGAATGTGTGTAGGTTCAATACTGAATTTATTGAACAAGTTGGATAAAATTATGTTATGCAAGCCTCTGGCGAGCAAAATATTATTTTATTCAACGAGTTCAATAAATTCAGTAATGAAGCTACCTAAATAAAATATTCTATTTATCACATACGGTGATACCCAAAATAAATACTGTTTAAAGTGCAAAAGAAATTTTCATTGATGGGCCTATAGTGTAATGCTTACATTAAGCGCGTCTTTACACTATGTTTGTATAACGTAAATGACGTCAAGTCAAAATATATGCACGGCCGTGCAATACCATTTTCATGGAGTCGTAAAAGCAGCTTGGGTATGTGATAAACTTTAAAAATAAAGACATTAACATGTTTCTGCACAAAGGTGCTGATATGTGACACAATGTTATATAATCAAATTAACACATGATAAAAGATGTCATACTGACACAATCAATATCATATTATGATGGCTTTTCAGGATTTCATCAGGTAGCTCTCTCTACGTTATCTACAACAACCAACCTTTTGTAAGCTAGTAAGATACCGTAGCATCCTCACTCCCTGGCAGCGACTCAACACAGACACACCAAAGGGCCAGAAAAAAGTCTCATATATATAAACAAAATGTTGTATGTTGAAAATGTACACACATAGCACCACTGTTTATTATTCTGTTACATTGAATTACCCTTCAAGTAGTTTAAGATACATTACCTAACATAACAAGAGCTGTCGGTAGGACAGCAACGCCCGACTATTCTTAGTGCTTGATTGTAAATAAAAATGCTTGATACAGTTACCTCCTCCTGTTTACAGGTTGGGATAATGATGGTGAACAAGTGTGCAAAGTTTCAAAGCCATATGTCAATGGACTTTGAAAATATTTGAGGTATTACAAAAACTTTAACGTAAATTCTAAGTCGAAGAAGGGGCATAATTCTGTCAAAATGCTTGATACAGTTACCTCCTCCTGTTTACAGGTTGGGGTAATGATGGTGAACAAGTGTGCAAAGTTTCAAAGCCATATGTCAATGGACTTTGAAAATATTTGAGGTATTACAAAAACTTTAACGTAAATTTTAAGTCGAAAAAAGGGGCATAATTCTGTCAAAATGATTGATACAGTTACTTCCTCCTGTTTATGGGTTGGGGTATTGATGGTGAACAAGTGTGCAAGGTTTAAAAGCCATAGGTCAATGGACTTTGAAAATATTTGAACTATTACAAAAACTTTAACGTAAATTCTAAGTCGAAAAAGGGGCATAATTCAGTCAAAATGCTTGATACAGTTACCTCCTCCTGTTTACAGGTTGGGGTAATGATGGTGAACAAGTGTGCAAAGTTTCAAAGCCATATGTCAATGGACTTTGAAAATATTTGAACTATTACAAAAACTTAACGTAAATTCTAAGTCGAAAAAGGGGCATAATTCTGTCAAAATGATTGATACAGTTACCTCCTCCTGTTTACAGGTTGGGGTAATGATGGTGAACAAGTGTGCAAAGTTTCAAAGCCATATAAATATGAAAATATTTAAACTATTACAAAAACTTTAACGTAAGTGGTTACGCCGACGCCGACGCTCGGGTGACTACAATAGCTCTACTTATTCTTATCGAATAGTCGAGCTAAAAATACAAGTACAAAGTTTGTAAGTTACCTTTAAGAGATCAATTTCCTTCTTACAATCCTGCCTGGCCTTTGCATCCATCATTTCAAATATCTGCAGGGAAAAGCATAACTAATATTAGTATTCATATAGCTTCAGTTTATAATTTCATTTTCTTAGAAACCTAATTATTATTAATAACCTTAAAGTCATATATCCAACTTTTGTCAGTGTATTTACTAGCTATACTCTATTTCAAAAAGAACAGATCAGATATGTGAAATATAAAGATTAGTGAATACTAGCTGCCAAAGCGAAAAACAGATCAGACACTGAGTGACTGACATGTAACTTTGATATGACCTTCCGATTGTTCTTTAAAAGAAATATGTAAAAATAAGAATAATATTAACATGTTTTAAGCCACATATTAAGTCACTTTGGTTGAATACCTACTATATTACCATGACAGAGAATCTGAGAGATGATTGCATTCAAGACACTTTTCTAAAAACCCTTAGCATTGTCACAGGTATATATTATTACAAATTTAAATTAATCTTCAGCAAGTTACGAAAATGTTGCAAAATCAAAAAGCTAGTGTTACCTGCACTTTCTTTAGGGCCAGAACATTTCCCGTAGCTTTACATATCACTCTGTAAACTTCTGAAAACTGCCCCTTTCCAATTTTTTTATCAATGTTAAAAGCTGCAAGTGTTCCATACATACTGTTACTATCCACCTGCTCACACCCCTCTGTGTCCATTGTTTCAGCCATCCTTCTAATAAAGATTAAAATGTTAGTTTAAATAACTGTACCATCAGTTACTTCACTTTATTAAGTTATTTGCACATAAAATAAACAGGGCAAAGTGATGACAATTTTGTGATAATTTAGACAAATAAACTATTATAGATGCAATGATATGATACTCTGCTTGAAATCATAATCAGTACAAGATCTAGCAGAAGGAAACATTAATGTTTGCTTTCAAATTATGTCACAGTATATAAATGTGCATGCTGAAGACCTTAAGCTAAGGTACATCTACCCCCCTTTAAAAAAGACCTGTGGGCACCCTACAAATTATAGTTACATGTAAATCTACTTCTTTTTAACAGGGCCTTTTCACTAGTTTTGGCCAACTTTTGGGGAAGGCGCCCTAAACCTTTTTGTGGAAAAATTGTGTGCGATTTTCACATTGTTGGGGAAAATATTTTATTTTCAAAATTTGTAGGAAAAATCATCATCTCTTTGCCTTTTTTTCCTTGAAACACATTTTAAGTTTAGTTTATTCCTTAGATTTCTGTCCAAATTAAGTTAAAGGCATTTTTTCCATATCAATTTATTGCCATTGTGTGTTTAGCCAGGACTAACTTGACTCATATTTCCTAGTTTTACGTATGTCATTTGAGGGTTCTTGCTTTGACTGAGGGGGTACAAATTATCACTTCCCGCTGTATCACTATTACTGACACTTTGTATGTTGCACTAGGCTCTCTTTTTCTGACACTTGGCCATGTTGTGCTACTCAGACAAGTCTTGCGAGTGGAAACATGCATTAGGTACTCCTTTACTTACAGAAGGGTTATCAAATTAATTCTTCCAATTTTTAATTAACAATAACAAATGTCACTCAATCGTATTTTGTTCTTTTCTGTGATTGTTTACATAAGCGACATCGTAAACAGATTGCGTATTGTCCTAAAAAATCACGTGTTCACTAATGAGTAGCAGGGTTTTTCCCATGCTGTTTTTTGAAAATGCAATATCAGACTGAGGCTGCAAGTTAACATCAATTATATTAAATCAGGTATTCCCCTAGTGGGTAATTGAATTATTAGCATTCATTGGACAAAAACAATAATTTATTTTTAAATAAGTTTGTTTACAAGTTTAATCCTTCGATTTATCTTTTCTTTGCAGACTTCCCGAAAGTTAAAAAAATGTGTCAAGACGTTCGGTCTAACAAACCATGAAAATCTGTCAGACCGAAATGAAATCTGTCAGACCGAATAAAATTAATCAAAATCAAATGAAAACTTGTGTTTGTATTTCTAAGACAAGTTTCGGTTTTAAATTTTTGACGTAAAAATCGGCACAGTCCGTACAGCGCATTTTATCTCCTCCCTGTCATACACCAACGATTCACGGTCCTGCTTCCATTTTTCATTAAATTTTTTTGCAGGTCTATTCTTTTCATCCTTTCACTGCTGTTCGGCGCTCCTGTGACATAGATTTTCATTTTTCCCACGTTTGGCACCTTTAGCAAGGCCATTTTGTATACATGCTACTTGGATAAAAGCTAGACAGTCCGACAGATCCGGAATAAAATATCGTCGAACCTAATAAAAACTTATCGGACATGTCCATCTGACCGACGTATTTCAGGAAGTCTGTCTTTGAAAGGGGTAATCTTTGCAAGAAGGGGAATTTTTGACTGTTTTTTTTGGGGAAAAAAGGTAGTAATTCAGACTTCCCGAAAGTTGAAAAAAACTGTCAGACATTCGGTCTGACAAACCACGAAAATCTGTCGGACCGAAACAAAATCTGTCGGACCAAATAAAATTGATCAAAATCAAAGAAAAACTTGTGTTTGTATTTCTAAGACACTTTCTGTTTTTTATTTTTTCGCCGTAAAAATCGGCACAATCCGTACAGCGCATTTTCATCTCCTCCCTGTCATACACCAATGATTCATGGTTCTGCTTCCATTTTTCATTAAATTTTGTCTCAGGTCTATTCTTTTCATCCTTTTATTGCTGTTCTGCGCACTCTTCTGACGTAGATTTTCGGTTTTTCCTAGGTTTGGCACCTTTAGCGACGACATTTTGTATACATGCGGCTTGGATAAAAGCCGGACAGTCAGACCGATCCGGAATAAAAAATTGTTGGACCTGATCAAAATTTATCGGACATGCCCGTCGGACCGACGTATTTCGGGAAGTCTGGTAATTCAGCTTGGGGAAGTAGCCAGATACCGGCTGCAGCAAAGAAGGGTAAAAAGGCCCTGATCTACATAATACTGCTTCAAAATCGTTTACAATTACACTAAGCAGGTATACATTGTATAAATTAGATTGAGAGAAAGCTATGAGATACAAGGGAATCAAGGAACCATTCCCTACCTCTACTGAATAGAACCCTTAGTTCTTTTACATGCCCAGTGTATAACACTGGTACATGCGAGGATTACCTGGATTTCTTTAATTTTCTTACCAGTACAACTCTAGGTTGGTGGGAAACGCTAATAGTGTCTCTGAAAAGGCCCAAGGATGTTACCTAGGATTGAACCCAGGACGTCAGGAGTGACAGTAGTCAGTGGTCTAACCTATGGAGCTATCGTGCCACATAAATTATACAAACGATGATTGGGTCTAATGATGTTGTGACCTTACCTTACTTTTCAAAGAAAAAAAAAAAACACAAACAAAGTGGACATGCATTTAACAGTGTGTAAGTTACAAAAAGAACATTCATTTTTTAACAGTAACACACAGTTAAATATTTAAATGCATGTTCTTTTTGTTTTTCACTAAGATATTAAGAAATTTTATTCCTTAGTTGACTGCCAGTATTAAGATGCTTTGTCCGTCTAATAGCGAGCTCGACGAGCTGGCCCGAAGGGCCTGCTCGCAAAGCGAGCTTTACGGTAACGCGAGTACCTGCTAAGTGATGGTTTTGAAAACTTTCGTCCGAAGTACCGAATTGGACACATCGCAACTTTTCGAATTTAAAGATAACGATAAAAACTGAGGAATTCTGACTGAAAACGGATGTGTAGACTGGTCACCCGCGCACGTCTATGGGAACCATAATTGGACAGGGAACCAGAATAACGGAAGCTTTCACATTGAAGGCGCCATTTTGTTTGAAAAATCTGATAAATAAAAACAATTTTTGGTCGAATTTTGTTGTGAAAACTATCTAGAATGAAAGAAAATGGTCTAACTAAGAAAATGAATCCGAACACCAATATCTTTTATTCAGTCGTTAACGCTGTACAGACGTTTAAAGTATTGTTTACGTGACGTCACAATGTAGCGCCAAACAGCACGTGCAAAACAATCAAATCAAGTACGCTATTTTAATGTCGCAAACGTTTTAAGTTTTACATTTATTTCACTTTTAATAATCTTTATTTCGCTTGAAAAATTATAGAGTGAAATAAAATAAACAAACAAAGTTTTATCAACGTTTTCAAAACTCGTTATTCATTTAACGACAGGGGCGGAGCCATATTTAACACAGTACGTGTGACGTCACACGCACTCTTCACTGCATTTGAGATTATTTCATCTACATCTACATCTACATTGTACGTCGGCGCAATCACACTTGATTATGACGCGACGGGTGGTGCTAGGTCAAGAAAAAGAAATATACAAGAAATGATAGAAAGTAAGAAGAGGTTGGATAGTACAAAGATAGAGATATAGACAAAAAGTATGGCCAGCTATATTTCGCCTCTTCAACCCAAACCTCTCCGGTTACGGTGGCCGCTGCCGGCACAGCCTTGGATATCACTAGTGGGTACTTGTAGCTGGGCCCCTAAGGCGACTTAGAATGTGAGGGCTGATAGCCCCTGCTTGAAGGATACCAAGTCAGGAGCCTCTGCAACGGAGGCAGGTAAGCTGTTCCATATCGTGGCTGTATATATCCCGGGACAACCAATATTCAATCAGTTAAGCCATTTTTAGCCAATAATAAATGGAAGGAGAAATTATACTTTAAATTTATTTTAGCTATTAATGCATCTATCAAAACTTTTTCATTTAAAGGTTGGTACATTTTCAACAAGTCTTGATCTTTCTTAGAAATTCAATAAAAACGACATGACCCACTCGGGTCACTCTCAGAAATATTTTAACCTAAATTCAAACAGCAGGGTAATCACTATGGATAATTTGTTCAAGATAAATCAGGGCCACTTAAAATTGTAGAAAATTTCACAACAGTCTATTCAACGATTTTCAACAGTTTTTTCAAGATTTTAAAAAACTTACACTAAATGTTATAACATATGTAAAGTACAATGCATTAGTATGACTACTGTTAATGTGTATAAAAAGGCAGTTAAAGGTATCATTTCTTATTACGCTATTTGGGGTGCAAAATGATAAATGCATCCAATCTTTACAGCCATTTTACCTTCCCCACTTTATATTACTAGCAAATACGGAAACTTGTCTAGATCTGCCAGTTGCTATCGCCTACAAAACAATTATTCTACAATCATCAGATGAAAGAATTTGATAACAATATAAGATTTTATTAATAAGGACCCCATGTAAAGTCTGATGAATATTTAGTGGTACATCATATAAATAAATGTTTTAAATACACCTAGGACTGAGGTAAATGGTAAAACTCTTTAGCCAATACTTTATAAAAAAAATTAACTTGCTTGGAAAAATGTTTCCACTATTTTAAACAAGTGACTATTTTGATATAGTTGAAGTTGGACAATTTATATTGTGTCACTTAAAACAAACAGTTTCTTATTGTTTTACTGATAACATCTGACAATTAATCAAGTATGGCATTTCTGCAAGTTTTGAAGTTAATACAACATGGACTTTATGCAATTTAGTCAGACATGACATCAGTGCCACAGAATTAAGAATGTGTTTGAATTTAGGTTGTGATTGAAAATTGGTTGTTTCGGGATACTATTTCACGTTCAAAGTACATCGAGCTCGCTTTGAGGCTTTGCCTTTTTCATATTAACTTTACTTATGACCCTCTAAAAATAGCAGTTCATAAAACTTTTAATACAACCGACAAACTAGAAAGAAGTAATTAGGCATAACTATATGCACATAAAAATGACAAGTTCTCGTACCCCACCCATCTTATTTTTAATGTATACGAGTTGGGATATTTAATTCGCGAGAATAACTGCCTCTTCAAATTACCTTTCAGAATTTACTTTTCAAAAACAAATGTAGATCTACCAGGAATTGAACAACTAACTTCAAATTCAATCAGGAAAATCGAACGAATTTCAATCTTTCTGCTAAATTCTTACAGACCGGAAGTGATTATTGCACCTGCGCAGATGATCGTGGCAACGACTGGTTTTGCATATTTCTTCTCAAAATTACGCAGCCGCTCTAATGAAAGCAGAGCAGTCGCTCATTGCGTATAATAATATTTTATTGAATTATATCACGGATTTATATTATATAGTAAATCCGTGATTATATATACACATTTAACATCATTATCTTAATCATAAATAAAATGATACAAACAAAAGTGTTAGTCAAAAAGTTATACCAACATTATCTAATTATTAAGGTAGATCTATACTTCCCTTTTGTCTTAAAATGATTAGTGTTGATTTTAGAATTTGGTCTTTAAAAATTATTTCTCAAAAGCTTTTCATTTTTGGTGTGCTTTTAAAGTTTCCTAAAAGTTTCTCATTGGTCAATTACCTTAGCCATCTTTTCTGTGTCTCTATTTGGCAATTAGTACAGTTACAGTGATTTAGTATTTTGCATGGAAGTCAAAATACTTCTTAATTTGTTTACATTTTGCTACTCGATCGTAAATTATTTCACATTTAGCGCTACTTTCTTCAGGCATGCTCTTTAAACATTATTTAAAGGTTATTCAGTTCAGTTGGCCCTTTCATAAGAAATCAAATTGCAATCGTTTCTGAGGAATTATGTGCCTTTAATTTGGTTCAAGACATTGCTGGCTGGCTGGCTGGCTGACTGACTGTGACTGTAACTGTGACTGTGACTGTGACTGTGACTGTGACTGACTGACTGACTGACTGACATAGATCATCTATAACAGAGATAGGCAACTTCCTAACCAGTTAAAATATCACGCGTGCCTACTAAACTTAAGCTTGAAGCAAGTAAAACTTATATTAACCAGATATCAAAATCATCGGTCTGAAAGCTTTATGCATTAAATTGTCTATGGCTGCAGGTAAAAATATTTACAGTTCCCATTTAAATAAATGATACATCAAATTTTAAAGACAACTACTTAATATTTTTTACCAAACTATTCATATGACGAAAAAACTGGCTCGATCAGCGGGTATGTTCAGCTATGTTTTTTCTAAGTGAAAGGCATGGAAAGTTACCAATACTTTAACATGCAGCAATAGATAAAAGATTTAACTTTCAAATGGTATATACATTTTGTAATATTAAAGGAAAATGTACATCCATTAAGTTTTATTTGCTACAAAACGCCTAATTTTTGGCTTTTTGATAGGCATGAGTGATATTTCAATGGAATATAAATTATAGGAGTTGCCTATCTCTGTTATCTATGTCTCTGATTGATTGATTGATTGATTGATTGATTGATTGAAAATAAGATAAAATAATTTATATCCTTTATAAATTGATTGATTATATATATTTTTTGCACTCAATAATTGGCTGCAATATAGATGTGGTCTATGAAAAATACTTATGTCTGTACGCGATATTTCGTATAACTTGAGTTGGAAGATGTATTTACAAGCACTGGGCGAACTTACTGGAGCACATAGAGAAATACGTTTTGAAGCACTAAATGTACCACACCAATACAAGAATTACCTATTGACAAATTACAGGCCACTTTTGACATGACTTTATAGTTGTAGTGCACAGCACTAGTTTAACCTTTGAAGTCGTGCTTCAGGTTTGATTTTTTTTGCTTCGTTAAGTGTTTGTTTACGGAATTCCGCTTGTTTTGTCTGGCATACGATGACGCTTTCGCGTAACTTTTTCAAAATAGAAAATCTTATAATTTTATGTAAACTTATACATGAACTTAAGTCTTAATTAAAGCCTTATCTTTGAGAATTGACACATGTTTCTTTACATGTATATAAAAGAAAGGGACTCCCAGCAATTTTGAAAGATAAGATATAGATTTTCGGGGACCTAGTAAGTAAGCAGACGGTAAAATTTGAATAAGTAAACTAATATTAATTTAATATAAAAAAGACAGATACTTTTGAAATCATAAATACATTCAATCTCACAGTGTCTTTACTACTGAAACGAAAATATAACGGATATTTATAATGAAATTTTGGCGAAATGGCTGATGTGGATCTACTCGTTGAATTTTCATTTAAGTTGAACCATAAGAAATTGTGATTTAAAGTTTTAAAACATGCTCTTAATATATGTTTTCTTCATTTTTGTAGGAATCGCCATCAAATATGTGTAAGTAGTATTTTGTTATACAATGTAATCAGCACGACAGTTTCCCCTAATAGCCTAGAGCTGCAGTTTTATAATTCGATCATTGAGGGAAATATTTCTGGTCAGTGAACGTAACTCGAAATTGATATATAGATACAAGGCTATTAATTTTCTCATTGCAATTGCCTCACACGCATTATCAGTAATTTTTTATATGATGCATGTAATAAGTTATAATTCTCGGATGCATTTGGCAAAATACTTTGTCTCAATAATCGAGGGAAATAATACCGTTTAAATCGACAGCATTTTTGTGTTTTGGATTTACTTTTTAACATCATAATTATTTCCATTTCATTCAAGCAAATCACATTTCTGTAAACATATATCAGAGCTCTAAACTTCAAGAAAGAAAAAAAAACAACAACAAAACAACACCTTATTTACTCAGATATAAGACTGAAAATGTCAGACATGAAGCATATTGAAGTCCTAAAACAATGTACAATATTCAACAGCTCTCGTGTTCGCTGTTAACGTAAAAATCAGTTTAGTTTTCATCGTTTTAGAAAAGAAAGTTCGTTTTGAATATACATGTCTGTTTTTTTATACATTTAAATACCCGGTACATCATAAATAAAATCATTTCATCAACGAAAAAAGTTAAAACAACTGAAGAAATGACGAAATTGTCCGACAGAAAAAGCTTAATTTTTCAGACGCACATTCAGCTATATACTGTAAATTACATTTTACTCCGTCTGTAAAATTTCGAATAAGGACAACTGTTTGTTTTGTTACTTCTCCTGCCCTTCTCTCTCCCTCGAATGTTGTATATAAAGAACGTATTTTCAGTTTTATAACGCCATATTTCAGATTACGTCACACTGTTTGTCCTGTCGGCATGTGCAATGTCAGGTTAGTATCGTTTCATATTATTGTGCAAAATATTTGAATATAAAAAGGAACTGCAATCTTGTGGGCGTTTGTAGGAGTTTATTGAGCCGAGTAAATTTTACATCATATTCTATTTTTAGATTTTCCATCATATATATACATGTATGTCTTTTTTTCAAACAGTAATTTACTTTGCTTTACTGTATATACGAGAACAAGAACGTGAAAAACGTGACATTTGGCATTAATTTCGATTCGATAAACTTTCGCACCCAACCCTGCCACAGTACTTTATGCATAATTATGTAATGTGCTCGCAAAAATGTAACAAGTTTAGTTGTATTAATTCATTCATAAGACCTTTTATCCTGTGATCCATTTTACACATATCAAATTCATAATATTTCAAGAGAATTTTTTACGACACATTTTTAGCGTATGCTGCTACAACCCCTCCCCCGTCCAACATAAGGAGATGTCGTCAATGTAACAGAGCTAGTACCCTCTCTGACTGTAATAAACTTGTAACTTGTGACAGCACATTAGAGGTAATCTTTACATCATTTCATTTGGTTTTTCACTATTTTAGCAAATTAAAACGTTATTATTAAATTCTTCTATCGCATCTTTTCGAAAAGGATTACTTCAAAATGTACTACACGTATATAAATGTAATATGTAACTTATTTTCATCATGTTTAGGACTGCTACATGGATGAGCTTATCACCGATCAACTTACTGTTGTTTATGTTGGCGGTTGTAGAGCTAAGACTGTGAGTTAACATTTTTATTATATACTTAAAAATGAAATATTAAAAAACATTGATGAAATAAAATGCATATTTTCATTTTCCGTATTTTCACTGCAGTGAAGAATATATTCTATATTTTAACTGCAGTGAAACATATTTTCCGTATTTTCACTGGTGTCTTGCAGGACTACTTTTTGTTAAATTAAGCCAGTTTACAAATTTTAAGAGAAAGTCTTTCAAAATGTGATGTCAAAACGGGGAAAAATGTATATAAGAAACAGAACATACAAGTTTTTTTTCTATGAATTCAGGATATTTTTTTCACCTTGTGCTATGAAAATTATCCTATTTTATACCACTCGATGAAAATAATCCTGTATTTATAGAAAAACCTTGACTATCCTTTACTGCTATACACGTATATATAAAAAGAAAATTAGCGGGTAAAATTGCCATGTTTTCGTTTGATGCTCCCTAAAATGCTGGAAAAACACCACATCTACACTAGTAGCTCAATAAAACGTTTTCAAGTATATGTACGTGTGTAAAATTTGGCAGATTTAATAATTATTTGCGACAGATAAATTGACACATAAATTCAGTAGCGGATGAATTACATATTTTTTCAATTATTATTATTAAATATGCAAACAACACGAAATGAAAAACAGTTCTCGTTCACTAGGTGTGCAATTCGTCAGGAAAGAAGAGAAGAAATGATCTCGTGGCTTGTTCAAGGTAATATTTCTCGCCCAAGGCCGGTCTGTTTTCAGTTTGACTTCCTGTAAAGTTTACAGGGAAGAACTGAATATAAGAAGTTTCCATTGGTTATTTTAAAATTACAAAATTAAATTGGGAATCTCATTGGCCATTCTAAAATAAATTGTAAAGGATAGTTCTAGTTAATTTTTGTAACCTTCTTTTAGTATCCTCTGTAGGGTAATAACCTGTTTTACTTCTTCAGTATCAATACCTTTTGATTGTGACTTAAGACTTTCTAGAGGTAAATGTCACTACAAGCGTGTTTTTATACAGATGTTAATATACCCCATACTGTATTGTCGTTCACGATATCAGCAATGAAGTGATGATAACTGTACATTGATTTTTTTCTCAGGTGTTGTGATTTTGACGAAGATTGTAACAAACGTCTTTGTGGAATTAAAGACGGTATGTTTCAATTGTGTTTGATTTATATATTTAATTCCCCTGTAAAATTTCGTAAACATGGGTAAACT